ACGCGCAGCTCGCGTCTGGGCAACGCCGGCCCCGCCCCGCTGCCTGCTCCGGAGTCCGCACCATGCCGCTGCCCCTGGTCCTGCTGCTCTTCTTCCTCCTGCTCCTTCTCCTCCTGCTGCTGGCCGAGGGCGAGGGCTCCAAAGCCACCGACCCTCGCGGCTGGGCGGGGAACTGGAGGGCGCTGAGACCCAGGAGGGCGGCCAGACGACCCTTCCCTGGGCCCAGATTCGCGGCCTCCGCTCTGGATGGGGCTCAGGGGGAAACCTAGAACCTACCTACCTCCCACCCTGGGCTCCGGGTGACCACCCGCCTCGAAAAGCAAAATAAAACCTTCCGTGGGAGTTATTGATTGGGCTTTAAGGAAATCACCTTTTGGGCCCTTCAGTCTTTAACGTTTCAGGCCTTAATTCAAACCTAGGGTTTGCCCGTATGAGCTTGATGGAACTAAAATTTCAGTTCTTCCCACTTCTATGCTTGCGTTTTTCTTTGGCCCACAGGATGGGTGTCCGAGTCAAGGCATTTTAGCTCCAGGAAATTCACAAATTAGTCAATCCCTCAAGTCTGGGTAAGGTTGGATAGTGTATATAATTCAGTATATTTCTAGAGTCATTCATTCGGCACTAAACACTTCATTTTATTCTGAATTCTTTAACTGAGATTTTATGAAAGTTCCCACCCATTTTGGTACTGTTTCAAAAGAATGTATTCAGCCGTGGTGATCGTTTAATTTACTTAAATAAAACTATTTCAGCCATCATTAGGAATGTTAGGAGCAATCTCTTGTTTTATATAGCATCAAATGACACTGGTTGTAAATTATTAGTTAAAACAGTAGAGGTAGAGTTAGTTTAAATCAGTTTCATTTCCTTAGGTACTTTATATTAATATGGCATATATTGAATATGCAATTACCACAAAATTCAGAATTTGCACCGCCTTTTACTTTTTGTTTCACTTAATTGTAGTGGTTTTTCTGTCCACTAAAAAAAATGAAAGGCTCATTCTGGAGCCTACATCCCTGTCATTTTCTGTAGACCACATCACAGTAGAATACTAATTATTAAACCCCCACACACAAAAAAAAAATCTAGATATTCATTAGACATCTCCTTCCTAAAAGTGTGTGTGTGCATGCACGTGCTTGTATGTTTTGAGTGTGTAAGAAGGAAAGGAATAGAGAAACCTCACAGATTTTTAATTTGGACTCAATAATTGTATATTCCAACAGATAATAGAAATCCGAGCAATTCTGTTTACTTATTCATAAAAAACAGTGGAACAGCTATTTATGGCAAATTAGAGATTAAATCCTTTCCCTTACTGTGAACTGCTTAATCAGTTTGTAAGCCTTGGCTTCATCATCCATAAAAGGACAATAGTTACTGCTTCATCATTTTGTTATGAGACTAAAGTAATTCCTGCAAAGTATTTAGCACAGGGCTTGGCATGCACGGTAGTAAGCGCTCGATAAATGTTATGACTATTATTTGGAATGAAGATCACAATATTATATTTCATAAAGAAAATTAGTAAATTTCTAACAAGAGGGCAACTTATTTATTCAGTGAGATATTGTACAATAAAAATCTTGCTATTGAAGAATAATATCTAGAATCTCTCAACTTATAATGATATATAAAAATGGAGGACACTAAATTATATACTGCATTAAATTATATAAATAAAGCCAAGCCATGATTATGAATGACTTCAATAGGCTGTTTTAAACTTTTATGATTTTCCAAATTTCTACTATGAACATGAGAATTAATTTCTACTTGAAATTTTTTTCAGAAAAATTGACAAAAACAGTTATTTACCTCAACCCAGATGTGATGGCACAGGGCTGTAATCTTAACACTCTGTGAGACTTGGCAAGCAGATTACAAGTTCAAACTTAGCCTAGGCAACTCAGTAAGACCCTATCTCAAAATTAAAAAAAAAAAAAGACCTGGGGATGCTCAATCCCCAGTGCCCCCAAAAATTAGCTAAAAACATTACCATCTTAGAAAAATGTCAGCCTAAGTATCAGTGCTCAAGCTGCTGATTCAAAACAGAATGTGGACCTGGGGATTTAGTTTAGTGGTGCTGCCGCCTGCCTGGCAAGCACAAGGTCCTGAGTTCAATCTCTGATACCAAAAAAAAAAAAAAGTGCATTAACCATATATACATATTATACTAATTTAATAATTCAACACAATTTGAGGATAGACTGAATATTTGCAATCACCTTAGAATGTACTACCTGATGTTGTTTATCTCCACACATGCTCTACGAGCTAGTTTTGCAACTAGATTCAAGACGAAAAGCCTGCATCATTTGTACATCTTTGTTTCCCTAGAACTTAGGAGCAACATGTTGTACATAGCAAGACCTTTCTATTTATTGATAGCAAAGAAGCATAGATCAGAATTCTGCTGAAATTGAAACAAAGGAAATGTTCCACGTACTTATTCATAGCTTGTACCCCCACACACATACACATATACTCTACTTCCAAAAAGGTATCTGAGATGGCTTGCAAGTAAAAGACTTGTAGAAAATAGCGTTAGGTGAGAAACTTGTTAAAAGAAAAGGCAAATATGCTGTAAATTTATATGCCTGTATTAAGACTGAGCTATATTTCACAAATACTTCTGTGCTTTGTGGAAGCCAAGACAGAAAATGCTTTTTAAGATTGTGATTATTTGAATTTTAAAGTACACATGGTGTTTCTTTGAATGGAAACATTTTCATGGTACAGTTCTAAACTGTGATTGTCTTTTTTAAAGAATATAAAACAATATAGACTACAAAAATAGCTTTGAGGGTTTTTTTTTTTTTTTTTTTTTTTACTCTAAAAGCAGCTCTTTCCGCATGGCAGGCAAGAGATGGAGAAGAAATCTACTCTAGCATACTTGAAAGTGACTAATTAATCAGAAGCTATTTTGGGAAAGGGAACTATTCTAGAGAATCAGAAACTACAGAAGAACTACACTTCAGCGTTGTTGTTCACAGTCACCCTACCAAAGTGACTGGATGGGAAATGGGCATAAGAAACAGTCACAGGGAGGCTGCAGACTAGACACAGGCCTCCGGAAAAGTTTATGCTCAGGCTGAGAAGGACACAGAAGTCCCGCCCTCTGTGATGAGAAGTCAGGCCAATCAAATGTGGTCTTCAGAGAGGACTGGGTCTGAAAGTGCTGGAATTAGGACCAGAAGACTGCTTGACCCCTCACTCACTCCACTGTCTACATACACCACAGACCTCAGGGATCTGTTTGTTTTCTCCTTCTGCCAACATGATCAGGGACATGCCTCAGCTTGACTGGTTGCCAAAGTCTGGGGTGTACAAACAGTGGGTCCTCTGGAGCAGGGACGGCATCTCACAAACCATAGGCCATAAAACTAGGTGAGGAAAGCAGTGACTTGGGACACAAAAAGGGACATGGAAACTGGGTGCACCTAGACTGAATGCAACCCTAGGACTGACACCATTGACCAATCATGCCCAGCAGGAAAGGCAGGGAAGGATAAGCATTTACAAACACAAAAAAAGTGAATATGGAAATAAAATAGGACTTAATAGTGACTCATTATCCCTCCTCCATATCTGGTGGATCCCATATTCCAGACCTTGCAAAGAAGTCATTCAAACGTAGAAAAGAATTTTTTTATTTATTTCTCTTTTGCTTTTATAGGTTTTGGGTTGTCTCCCCCAACACACACACTTTTTTCCCTTGTTTGTGACTTTCTGCTACTTTTATCTAGTTCTATTCATTTTCTTTTACTCTTGTTTGTTTTTTTTTTTTTTTTTTTGGTACCAGGGATTGAACTCGGGTCTTTGCGTTTGCAAGGCAGGCCACCAAACCACTGAGCTAAACCCCTGGCCCTTCTTTTACTCTTTAATTGGATTCTTTATCACTTGTCTGTCCTCCTCCTCATATTCCATATTCTATATATATATATATGTCCTGGTACCAGGGATTGAACTCAGAACATTGTACTTGCAAGGCAGGCAGCAGCACGACTGAGCTAAATCCCTGGCCCTATATTTCATATTTTGCTTCATTCATTTTCCCCTTCCCATATTAGTATCAAGTTTTAGAACATTTAGATAAGTAGTTTATCCTATGCTATTATTGTTTAATTCTTTTCTGTTGTTAGTAGTGGCATAGTTGTCATATTCAGTAGATATTTACTAAATATAAATATTTTATTTGTCTTTTTGTCCACATTATTATTGTGGATGTCTTTTCTATGGCTAAGGATGATACAGGGCTAGATTTTACTGGTTTTTATGTTTTATCAATATCCAGTTTATCTTTGACTCTATTATTGTTGTTCGTTTCTTTGCTGTTGCCACTGGTGGCATAGTTGTTGCTATTAATTGATTTTTACTGGATGCCAGTAAAATATCTATTTTTCCAGTAATATCTGTTTTGAATTTGTGTCGTCAACATTACTGTGGCTCATTTCTGGACATGTGGGTGCAGAATCAATCTTGTTGCACCCTTCCCCCATCAAATTAAAGGAGGCGGTTGGCTCTTAGGACAGGGCAAAGGCCTGTAGTTAGGTATGCCCAGAGTGGATTACTGGAAAGCAGACACTAACTAAAGATATCTCCATACTAACAACAGAGTCTTTCCATTTTAATTGTTCCTTCATCATCATCATCATGTGTGTAAGCACGTGCACACACACACACAATAAGCATGAGGAAAATGAGGGGAAAAGGCAACAAAATGCCTCGTCAAAACACCCAACTCCCACAGAACTGATCTATGGGGAAATCGGTGGAAAGAAAAT